CGAATAATAGTAGAGAGAATGATTTATTTCAGCTTTTATTTCTTTCATCACGTTCCCAGTGGGTCAGAAGTTTACATACACTCAATTAGTATTTGGTAGCATTGCCTTTGGATTGTTTAACTTGGGTCAAATGTTTCAGGTAGCCTTCCACAAGCTTCCCACAATAAGTTGGGTGAATTTTGGCCCATTCCTCCTGACAGAGCTGGTGTAACTGAGTCAGGTTTGTAGGCCTCCTTGCTCGCACACGCTTTTTCAGTTCTGCCCACAAATGTTCTTTAGGATTGAGGTCAAGGCTTTGTGATGGCCATTCCAATACCTTGACTTTGTTGTCCTTAAGCCATTTTGCCACAACTTTGGAAGTATGCTTGGGGTCATTGTCCATTTGGAACACCCATTTGCGACCAAGCTTTATCTTCCTGACTGATGTCTTGAGATGTTGCTTCAATATATCCACATAATTTTCCTTCCTCATGATGCCATCTATTTTGTGAAGTGCACCAGTCCCTCCTGCAGCAAAGCATCCCCACAGCATGATGCTGCCACCCCCGTGCTTCACGGTTGGGATGGTGTTCTTCGGCTTGCAAGCCTTCCCCTTTTTCCTCCAAACATAACGATGGTCATTATGGCCAAACAGTTCTATTTTTGTTTCATCAGACCAGAGGACATTTCTCCAAAAAGTACGATCTTTGTCCCCATGTGCAGTTGCAAACCGTAGTCTGGCTTTTTTATGGCGGTTTTGGAGCAGTGGCTTCTTCCTTGCTGAGCGGCCTTTCAGGTTATGTCAATATAGGACTTGTTTTACTGTGGATATAGATACTTTTGTACCTGTTTCCTCCACCATCTTCACAAGGTCCTTTGCTGTTGTTCTGGGATTGATTTGCACTTTTCACACCAAAGTACGTTCATCTCTAGGAGACAGAACGTGTCTCCTTCCTGAGCAGTATGACGGCTGCGTGGTCCCATGGTGTTTATACTTGTGTATTATTGTTTGTACAGATGAACGTGGTACCTTCAGGCATTTGGAAATTGCTCCCAAGGATGAACCAGACTTATGGAGGTCTGCAATTATTTTTCTGAGGTCTTGGCTGATTTATTTTGATTTTCCCATGATTTCAAGCAAAGAGGCACTGAGTTTGAAGGTAGGCCTTGAAATACATCCACAGGTACACCCCCAATTGACTCAAATGATGAGCCTATCAGAAGCTTCTAAAGCCATGACATCATTTTCTGGAATTTTCCAAGCTGTTTAAAGGCACAGTCAACTTAGTGTATGTGAACTTCTGACCCACTGGAATTGTGATACAGTGAATTATAAGTGAAATAATCTGTCTGTAAACAATTGTTGGACAAATTACTTGTGTCATGCACAAAGTAGATGTCCTAACCGACTTGCCAAAACTATAGTTTGTTAACAAGAAATTTGTGGAGTGGTTGAAAAACAAGTTTTAATGACTCCAACTAAAGTGTATGTAAACTTCCGACTTCAACTGTACTAAGACAATGAGAGGTGTCATAGTTGTATATGAACTGCAAGTGTGTGTGTGTGTGCACGTTTGCATGTGAGTGTCATCACAACCTAAACACCTTACTTGACAACAAAAAACAACCAACAATTCCATAAATGTATGTAATACTTTTTATTTTTCATTTTTTCAAGACAAAATGGCTGAGTGTAGAGAATTATGCAGATAAGGTTGATGAAAATAGAGTGGCATCTCCAAAAGAACAACAACTCAACAGAAGAGAGCAGAATTCCCAGAAACAGAATGGTGTGGTCAATGACATTTGGTAATTAAAATAATAATAATAATAATAATAAAAACATCAGATATTCATCAAGAGAGAGAAATCGTATTGATTCCTAGCTGTGTGTGACTCTGTTTTGAACAAAGTTGTGTATAGTCATAATAAATAGGGACGTCCACTGTCGGAGGCCATGTTCAAGTTCAGTTCAGAATAAACTGCGTTTAGAACAGACAGAAAAAAACGCTGAAAACCCTAAACGTACCAATGTAGCATTGCCATTTACACAAAACATGTAGCCTACTTTCACCAGCTAAAGCAGGCTTTTCTTTTTCCCACCCCAATGATTTCTGTTTTCATTTGAAATATACTTTGCAAATAAGATTTAACACTTAAAAAACCATAAAGCACCATGTATTGTTCAGCAATGAAAAATATAAATAAAATAAAACTGCTAAATTGATGTTGTTTTTAATCGATTGACTGCATAATGACTAGAATAGTTCTTAATTCATTGATATGACTGGAATGTGGTCAGGTGGTAGAGACGAAAGGACAGTAAAAAGTTATACTACCGACAACCCAACAATAGCTTGTATTACTGCATATAAAATGGCAGGAGAGGATTTTTTTTATAAAAAACGAAACTAAAAAGATATATACAACCACCTGTTTTACCGTGTTGTGGCGCATTCCGACGGGACTCCTTGAAAAAGCCATTACATGGTTTCTCTTATCCTTAGAATGCCACAACGTTTTAATTTTAAAAAACATACTTAATTTTTTGTTCAAGCATACAAATTATTCACACTATAATAGTATTATCCTGCCAAATTAAGAAAATATATACGCTGGCAGCTTGTTGGGTGTTTTTTTCAACTACTGAAAAGAGTACATTGAAACCTTTTAAAGAGAACAAGCGAACAGTTAAAAATACAGGCTTCAACATAAATACTAGAAGTGCCTACGCTAAGTGAACATTAATTTCAAATACCATTCTAAATACATGAATAGGTAGACCGTAAATGTGTATTTTAGCATAGGAACATGAGTGTGCATTTTCCTATGTTTTTTAAGTTCTCTCTATATATTCACATATAATCATAAAATCTCTCGCCGATGCAAATTTTGTTTAACCTGAAGACCTGTGTATAGCAAAAAGATGAGAGTCATGTTAATTTCATATTCATAATATAGTGATAAAATCTTGAGCATAATCATCAAGATTTAACGAGAAAAAATATATATCATCAAAAAAAACTTAAATAAAGTCTCCCCTAAAGATATTGAAGTGTTAATTAAAGAAAACAGAATTTATTTATTCATTTTTATAAAATTTGTAGTAGAAAAGAAATTCTTGCCCCATTTGAGCAGCAAGTTTTCTTTCTTTCTTTCTTTCTTTCTTTCTGTTCTGAAGCAGGAGGGAGTATGGCGGTTCCTGCATTGATACTGTATTACCCAGAGGCCCCAAAAAACTGCTAGGCCCCCTGGGAAACAAAATGGCTGGCGACGGTTTCTCGTTTCACTCTTATCTGCATGAAGCAATGACACCACATCAATCTGTCAGCATTAGAGCATTGTTTTCCCTTGAGTGTCCACCTGTAAACTGGGAAAATTGAACAGTGCACATATTTAGTCCTGGAAAAAGTCCCAGTTCATATTATTTTATACTCAACCGACTGTACCTCCGATTAGAGAGACAGATACAGGATCCAAGGCAGAGTGACAAGTGCTTTATCAACAACATTATGACAGGGAGTGATGCAAGTCTGTAAAATAAAAACAACAGCGATGAGGTCTAACGTGTCAACTCAAAGAGCACAAAACGATGTGAAAGATTCAAATTATGTAAAGATCGAGCAGGGGATGTGTTTTACTGAATACACTTCTCAAAATAATTATTAAATTAGTTTAGATAATTTCCAATATCAATTAGTTTAAGAGGCAACGTTTCAGCTTTTAGGAAATCTGGAATAACATGCGAAAAAAAAGCTTATTAAAAAGCTTATAATGCATTTAAAAATTATGAATTGTGGCAAAACCTGTTCATTCCTTGACCCCTACCCCCACCCCCTATTCCAAATCAGCCTGGCTTGTCAGAACTAAGAAAAATGAAAGTCTTCAGGTGCCCAGCCGCCACGGCAACACACTGTCATGGCCGACACAATGAAGATCCCAGCAACAAGGACAACAACATAGTTTTGTGCTACTTACAAAAAACTGTAAAACCTTTCATTTCAAAACAAAACACTCTAACACATTAAGAGCTTAAGTTTACAGAATTATAACAACTCATTATTACATTTAGTACCCCTATGTACGGTACCAAACAAAACACAAATAAAACCCTTTATATAAACACCACATAATCCCCGAATAGCATGTAGCTAGCATGCCAGTAAACAGAATGAGAATCTGAAGTATATTATACAATAAGTCAGGCAGATAAAATGATTTACCAGAAATATATATTTTTTGTTTCAACTGGTTCCTTGTGTTTCGCTAGGTCACAGAGGACGATGTCATATTGTACAAGTGCTTGATGCAAGAACCTGTTTTTTTCCCGTTAAACACGTTTGTAGCTGAATCTCCGAGCTTATAGCAAAAAGGAGGATTAACTAATGCAGATAAAATATTCCAAGGCACATTTTTTTTGCTTTTCAAACGATAACTATTAATTTCAAATTGACCACCACTATATCTTCTAAAATAAAATGTTATGTTGCTAAGTGCCTACCATATCCTAGGCAAACCCAATTTATATTTTTAACCCAGTATTGGACAGAAAATATTTTTTAAAGACCAGTTCAAGTTTTACCCTGCTTTTCGTAGTTAAGGGTTAGACCATTCACACTGCCCACCATGTTTCCAACACCAAACTGTTCATGATATGTTAAACAGTATGTATATGCAGCATGGGGTTTTTCTTACGCTTATCTTTTTCTTTTTTTAAAATAAAAAGTACCTACCAACAGCAACAAAATTACAACCAACCAACCAACCAATGAAGGACAATTTTCTCTAAGTAGCCAAAACACACCGAGCATGCCGTCCAGTTACAAAAAGTACAAAACATGTAAATTATTGCACAATAGAAAGGCTCAAAAGTTTTTACGTCTGATGCAATAGTATTGCCCCAAATATGGATCATGCATTCAGCTTTTCGAAGGTACAGGGTTTTTGACTGGTGTCTAACCCCTGTCACTCTTCCCACCTTTTGCCAGGATTCAGCGAATCAGGGAGCTGCCCCGCCTCCCCTACTCAGTCTTAATTTCCAGGGTGGTTGGCATGGGTTGATCGCTGTGCCACTTCTTCATGTGTTTCTCCAGAGTGCTGTACACACTGAAAGGCATGTGGCAGATTTCACATTTATAAACGTCCTTTCCCATCTGTCCGTGGGTCTTCATGTGGCGAGTGAGCTTGCTGCTCTGGGCGCAGGCGTAGCTGCACAGGTCACACTTGTAGGGCCTCTCTCCTGTGTGGCTGCGCCGGTGCACCGTCAGGTTGCTGCAGTTCTTGAAGATCTTGCCGCAGTACTCGCACGTGTCGCTCCGCCGGCTGCCATCCTTGGAGCTGGGGCGCCCGCCGCTCCCCGACAGGTGAGGGGTGCTGGCCCCACTCCCCGTCCCGCTGCGGCCCGAGGCCCCGCAGCCGCCGTCCAGCTCCCCGGGAGGCGTGGAATAGCGCAGGCTGCCATTCTCAGAGGAGTGCTCGGAGGAGGTGGCGAAGGGCGATTGTCTGGAGGAGTACTCTCCGAAGCTGAGGAAGGGGTCCTTGAGTTGTCGGGAGGCGGCGTAGCCCGCCAGCCACTGGGAGTACACGTTATCCGTGTTGGGGATGGTGGGCGTGGGAGGATCCAGGTCTTTCTCCACCTTGATACGCTTGGTCAGGGGGCTGAGGGAGCCGGGACTCCCCATCAGGAGTTTCCTGGTCAGGGCCTCGTTGGAGAGAGGACCCAGGCCGTTGGCCGTTGGGGTGGTGCCGCAGACCTCATCGGCCCGGTCCGACTCCAGGGTCAAGTCCTCGTCACAGGCGTCCCGGGGGGTGCTCCGTCGGTGGGGGTGGGAGTGGGGGTGGAGGGCCTGGCTGTTCAAGTGGTGCCGGGCCCCTTCCAATAGCAGGCTGAAACGAAAGTCATTCTTCTCACCTTCCTCAGTCTCCATCTCCTCCTCTACCTCCTCTCCTTCTTCCTCCTCCACCTCTTCCTCCTCTTCTTCTTCCTCTCCCTCTTCCTCTTCGTCTCCCTCCTCCTCTTCTTCCTCTTCCTCCTCCTCGCCATTCTCAAGCAGCCCATTGTTCTCGCTCTTGAACTTGGCCACCACGGACTTGAGGGCGCTGGTAGCGCTGCCCACCAGGTCGCTGGTGCCCGGGTCGGGTGAGCTGGCGGTGGACAGGCAGTCATCCGACTTGGCATTGAGGGAGTTCTTCTGAGAGTGTGTCTTCATGTGGCGCTTCAGCTTGCTGGCCTGGGTGCAGGCGTGGTTGCACAGGTGGCATTTGTAGGGCTTCTCTCCTGTGTGGCTGCGCCGGTGCACGATCAGGTTGCTCTGGAACTTGAAGGTCTTCCCGCAGAACTCGCACGACTTGGCCTTGAGCGGCGTGGTAGGCTGGGCCGGGTTGGGGGTGGAGCGGAAGCCGGACGATGGCGACTGGGAGGTGGAGAGGGGAGGAGTGGCCGAGAAGGGGGGCTTGGAGCCCGGCTGGAAGGGCTGCAGCAGCCGTTGCATAGGGCTGGGCTTGTTGGGCGACAGGGGCGGGGAGGCCCCCGTAGGGTTACCCGCCAGCTCCCGCAGTCTCCTTGAGAAGTCCATGGCAGGCGGTGGGTCCAGGGCCCCCGAGTTGAGCCGCATCACCCTGTCGAAGGCGCTCGGGTGGTTGGTGGCCAGGTTCTCCGGGCTCAGGTGGTGCCGTGGAGGCGGACTAAACAGCGGAGGCGTCCGGGGGTAGCGCCCCTCGCGGGGGACAGAGGCGGCCCCTTCCTGGCCAGACCCGGACCCAGGCAATCTCAGCAGACTGAAGGGGCTCCCATCGGCCAGGTGGACACCATGGAGGGGGGGCTTGGAGGTGCAGTCGCCCCCCATCCCGGGTGGGGCGGCTACCCTGGGTGTGAGGGGGCTGCCTGGCTCGCTCTCCAGATAGATTCGGAAGCCGTGGGTGTTCTGGGCGTGCTGGAGCAGGAACCAGGCACTGCTGAAAGGCTGCTTGCAGGTCGTACACGTGTAAATACTGGGCTCATCCTTATCTGTGAACAAGAGAGAGAAAGAAGTAGGGTTACTTGACTGTAGCTAGAAAGAGAATGAGGACTGCTAGGATTGCTAGGACTGCTAGCACTTAATATTTCAGTTCGACACCAAAGATATCCATTGTATTTGATAAATAATTCATTTGATAAATACATTCATTTTAGCAGGGTCCAATTTCAGCGTAATTAATACACTGAGATTTAAACATGTATTCAATTACACAGCCTGTTTAAAACAACACCAGCAACGAGATCTGAATCAGTGTATACAATTTACACAGATGAGGAGGTAATTAGGAATATTTCAAACAATAATTGAATTTCAATGGCCCTTAGACGATGACCTGAGATTTGCCTGACAATGCATTTGTAATCTCGTTAAACACACTCAACCATCCTCCATAGATGTGTTTAGAGAATTAGAGGGGCTAAAGTAGAACATGTATCTAATGCTGATACATTTACATTTCACATTTTAGTCATTTAGCAGACGCTCTTATCCAGAGTGACTTACAGTTAATGCATTCATCTTAAGATAGCTAGGTGGGACAAACACATGTCTCAGTCCTGGTAAGTACATTTTTCCTCAGTAAAGTAGCTACCAGCAAAGTCAGAGCTAATAAGGGGGGAAAAAGTTCATGAAAGGTTTTTATATACACTACCAGCCAAAGGTTTGGACACACCTACTCATTCAAGGGTTTTTCAATGTTTTACATTGTAGAATAATAGTGAAGACATCAAAACTATGAAATAACACATATGGAATCATGTAGTAACGAAAAAGGTGTTAAACAAATCAAAATATATTTTATATTTGAGATTCTTCAAATAGCCACCATTTGCCTTAATGACAGCTTTGCACACTCTTGGCATTCTCTTTTGACTGGACTGTATATATATATATATATATATATATATATATATATATATATTTATATATATATATATATAAGCACTGAATACAAATAACAAGGTCAGATGTTAATAAAATGGACAGTTTCACCTCTAAAAGAAAACACACCAAAAAGGAGAGAGCCAGAGAACGATTTGAGGGTGGCACTATGAAAATGCATTTCACGTATTATTATTCTATTTCGGATAGTTTCATGGTTTACAGCTTTATTTTAAATCCTCTCAGGTGAATAGAAAAGAAGAAGAGAGAGGGAAAGGAGAAGTGAGATATGCAAAGTAAGTAGCGCATTCTCTACACCACTCCGCAAATGTTCTTCTTCTCTTTCATCTCTGCTTTCATTTCTTCTCTCCTATTGTTTCTTATCCTTTTCTCTGTTTTGTTTTATCTGTCAGGCAGGCAGGCTAGGCAGACACTTAACTAAAAACCTGAATGTGCTGCCAGCTATAAAGATTAGCCATTGCTAAGATGAAGGACGGGGCAGAAGCACAACCTTGCTGTACCCCACTGTGGCTGTGGAGGCTAGGGGTGAGGAGGACAGTATGCAGGCTGGGCCCCTGCTGCTAGAGCAGCCTGAAGGAGGAGAAGAAGAATGCTGTGAAAACCAGATTTCCACGCGTCTGCCTCCCTGCCACCCTGACCATCTCATGACAATCCCTCTTAAAGAGTCACTCTTTGATATGTACGGCCCTTGTCAATGATATAGCTATACCCATCTATTCATCCCTCAGCTTTATAGAAAACCAAGTGGGCCTGCCGTTTTGTTGTTTTTCAAATCAAGGAGTGGGCCTTTAAAGACCAGCAAGCAAAGGCGAAATGTGCACCCAATCAAAGGCAGCTCCACATAACCTTTTTTTTTCACTGAAAAGAGATCTGGGGGGCTGGCAAATTATGGATCATTACAATCTGCAAAAATTACAGTTAATTGCTGCCACCTGCAAGGGGCTTTGACCTCCTATGGATTTTTTCCATCATAAAAAGGCCATTTGCCCACATTCTGCCTTTCCACTTATATGCACATATAAAAATGCAATGCGTTTTTTTGGAGTCATTATATTGGCTGAAGTAGTGGCGGTATAGCAGACTATGCATGTTTTTTTACTGAATGAAACCAAAGACCCATATTACTCTTAAAATGTTCATTTACAACCAAGCTTTGTTGTCGAGTTCTGCTTTTATATTACGGTGATATGCAACCCTGCCCTGACAACACGTGTCAACCTACAGTCTCAACAGTCCCCTATGTAGGAAAATGTCTATAAATGTTCCTGTTATTGAAAAGGACGATGCATGAAGAGAAAGGCTAACGTGGCGAATACACCTTCTCTTCCTCGGAGACCTACGCCTGTCTATCTGTCAGAGGAGGATCGAGGCACAAGGGTGGGGTAGCGCGGCGTGAAGGTGCCATTCGTAATGACTGCCTGAGACGACAGTCGTGAAGAACAGTGGAGCGCCACAACATGGCCGGCCCCAAAATAATTTGCCTATACATCAAAAACATCCAGATGACGTTTGAAAACTCCCTGCTCACGAGACGGCAACACAGAACAGTGTGGATAATTGATACCTTTGTCATATTGATTGGCACCAAGCTAGACCAATGTGCCGTACCCATTCCCACACGCCTGTCTGGCAGACACATAACAACAAAAGAAGATATCTAAATCGGCCTTGACTATGGGTGCTTCCCAAATGGCACCCTATTCCCTATATAGTCAACTAGTTTTGACCAGGGCCCATAGGGTGCCATTTGGGACGCAGACTATACCTCTCTAATGCTCCCGGCTCAAAGTGAAGGAAAGGGTATGAGGAAGCAGAGAAACACGTCCTGACAGGCCATTTGATGGCCTTGAAGATTATAAAAAGGGAAGGAATATGTGAGCTTGGGGGAATGATCTTATAAAATCGTCTCTGGTCTTCTCTAGTCCTCTAATGGAATCAAAAAGAAGAGAGCCTTTCAAAGAGTGGTCTCTAGATTCTAGAAGCTCTAAAGCTAAAACTAAGTCGAGGTCCCTTTGACATAGGAGCAGGAGATGAGGAACTGGGCTGAAACCTTCTGCCATTTTACAGCCAAGGCTGGGGAGAGGACTTACAGAGATTGGGGGAGGGGAGGAGAGAGTGAGGGAGAGAGAATGAGAGGAGAGAGAGAGAGAGAGAGGAGAGGAGAGAGAGAGAGCGAGAGAGAAGAGAGAATATAGAGAGAGAGATCGACGAGAAGGTAAGAGAGCGAGACTACATGCATCTCAGTTCGGCGCTATCCGCTCTCCCTCTCTCTATATCAGGCCCTCGCGCGCTCTCAGACGCGAGAGCTAGGATCTCTGCCTCCCTCTCTCTCTCGGGTCCTCGTGCTCTCGCTCGCATCGCGAGATCGCCTCCCCCTCGCTCTCTCCTCGCCTTCTTCTCTCTCGTCCCTCGCTCTCGCTGCGCCGCGCGCTCTCTCTCTCCATCTCGCTCCTCTCCTTCGCTCGCGCCGCTCGCGCGCTCCCTCTCCGCTCTCTGCCGCCCTCTCTCTCGCGTCTGCTCTCGCTCTCGCTCTCGCTCTCTTCGCGCTCGCGCTCTCCCCGCGCTCTCTAGGCTCGTCGCTCGCGCGCGCGCCCCCGCGCGCCTGCGCCGCGAGCTCGCGCTCCGCCCATCCCTCCGCCGCGGCTCCCTCCCCCGCCACGCCCGCCCGCCCGCTCCCGCCGGCCCTCCCTCCCTCCCCCGAAGAAAGACGACAGAAAGAAAAGCAGAAGAACAGAAAAGGAGGATAACAAACCTACCAAGGACATAGCAGCCCGCTGCAACACAAAGCAGAAGAGGGCTATTACTCTGTACAATCTTTCTCTGTACAATGTGCTGCTATCACCAGAGAATATGATCCGCGGCCATGCAAAGAGCACAAGGCCGACTAACGCAAGGGCAAAGGGGAAAGGACGTGTTAAACAGCAAGATATTGCCCATACGGCTCATTCGGCAGGATCACATGTATTCCACTACTATCTCAGCCAGTCAGACAGAAGGAAACCAGGCCGGGCTAGACAAAGCAACAGTGATGGGATGATTATAAACAGTCTAGTCTAGTCTAGTCTAGGGAGGTGCTGCAGCCTGCAGCCACTTTGCACACGCAGATCCAGACCCTCTCATTGTTCCCCTGCTGCAATATGCACCCCCACATCCCCTACTCCCAACCCTCCGCCCCCGTAACCCCGCACCCCACCCCACCCCCCTACACTAGTGTCAGTCCCAGCCAGACCGGACCCCTCCCTACCCTCAACTGAACCCCTACAACTCAAACACAGCGACACACAAACAACAGCCGTTGGCTACAATCAACAATGACCTTGACCCCTGTGGTAACAAGTTCACAACGCCACGGTAACAACTGTCCGTCCCCAAGCCAACTTTCTACTGTTCCTGCAAGGAGTTGACTTTTCCACCATTTTGTTTTGTCCTTGACAAACCCTGCTAAGTCTCTCCCTCTTCCTCCCTACCTTCCAAACTGGCTCTCACAGATATTGGTCATTGAGTTAATGGAGGAATGTTGTTATAGGATTAGCAAGGCATTGGAGGAGAGGGAGAGAGAAAGCCAGGAGCACACTGTATGTCAGGTCAGCCATTTTGGGCTTCCAAGCACACCTGAAAAGTGATTATACTAATAACGGTCCCTGCCAATATTCATAAGTGTTTATGGATGTTGGTAGGAGTGCATTGGGGAGGATATGCAGACCTCTTCAGAGTGCTGTGATAAAAGGTGTTCATGTGACTACTAGTCTGTTTATATCATTAGTGTATTCATGGTCAGAGCCTGGTGATGGTGGAGGTTGAGGAGGAGTCATCCCATGTGTGTGTGTGTGTCTGCCCTCTCTCCATCAGTATTCACCCCAACGCGGTGGGTCCCAGCTGGTCGCGGCCCTGCTCTCACACACTCACACACACACTCTTCTCTTTGTCCCAGGCCAGAACACTTTTTGGCGCGCTGAGCCACTGGCCACCAACAAAGGGCCTGTTTGACCAACACTTGTTCTGAGACAAAGCCTGATGCAGGAAATGTGGCTTACCAACAAGAAAACACAGTGAGACAGAAGAGAGAAGGGGAGAGCTATCCGTGTTCTAACAACTCTGATTTGAAACAGTCCGTCCGGGGATTCCAGGTTTGAAACACAGACATTAGTGTGTCAACAGCATGGTCCAGTCAGACTACTAAACCACTAACTACACACATCAAACCGAAAGAAAAGAAGAGAGTCTGAGAGAATAAGAGAGGGAAGAGAGAGGGGAAAAGAGAGAGACGAGAGAGAGGAGGAGCGGGAAAGAGCGCATAGAAATAGAGAGTTTGATAGAGCGAGAGAGAGGAGAGCGGGAGCGGAGAGAGAGAGAGAGATCGAGAGAGAGAGAGGAGAGCGAGAGAGGAGAGAGAGCAGAGAGGAGAGAGAATGAGCCTTGTGGAGGAAAGAGGCTACCCACATCACAAGGAATGAAAAGAAGAGAGTCAGAGAGAGAGAGACCAAGACAGAGAGAAAGAAAACTTGGCTGGCATGAAGGGAGATTTACTGTGAGATAACTGACTGCGTGAAGCATGGTGGTCTTTGGGTTTGGGCACTAGCTCTGTCTAGCTGTGTACTGTACCAATAAGTCATGTGTTCTGTGTTGGTTAGACTCTCAAATCAGACTTTCATACTTATTACCTTTCCACAGTCATGAAATATGATAGGAGTAGCCAGGTCCGGGATGGTGTTTCTCTGACCCACTAGAACCATTAGAGACAGATGATAGGAGCAGCCAGGACTGGGATGGTGTTTCTCTGACCCACTAGAACCATTAGAGACAGATGATTGTAGCAGCCAGGACTGGGACGGTGTTTCTCTGACCCAAAATAACCATTAGAGACAGATGATAGGAGCAGCCAGGACCGGGACGGTGTTTCTCTGACCCACTAGAACCATTAGAGACAGATGATAGGAGCAGCCAGGACCGGGACAGTGTTTCTCTGACCCACTAGAACCATTAGAGACAGATGATAGGAGCAGCCAGGACCGGGACGGTGTTTCTCTGACCCACTAGAACCATTAGAGACAGATGGCTTCTAGACATCTACAGAGAACACATTCACTGTTCGCACACACTGCATAATGGACAGAGCAGAGAGGGAGAGAGAGAGGGAGAGATAAAAAGAGAGAAAGAGTGTGTCTGTCTGAGTGTGTGTGTTATTCTAAGTGTCTCAGTGTGTGTGAGTTTCATTCATTTATGAGTGTGTGTGTTTTCTGTGTGTGTGTGTCTGTCCGCTGTCCGTTTCCTTTCCCTACCCCTGGACCTCTCCATCTCCAGTTGGTTGAACTCTGTTTGAACTGACCAGAAAGGACATCCATCCATCTACATGACCCCCTGTCTTTCCCTAGCCCAGTCCGAGTGCTCCTTGCTGGGGCATCTCTCGGTCCGACGGCCCCTGTAATGGGTAAGGTCTGTTTGTTCTACAGTGCAGATCATTATATGCTATCTGCTGCTTACTGAGAGTTGTGTGTGTGTGTGTGTGTGTGTGTGTGTATGTGCGGTTGTGTGTGCGTGTGTATCATAAGAAATTCATAATGGTACTGTAAATAGACCTCTTGGCCTTGAGGTTTAAACCAGTGCAATTAACGAGCCAATCAATTACATAACATAACCGTCTGCATTAGACATTGTTTATTATGGACAACGATAATGTTGGCCTTAAAGTCAAACAGAGTGGATGGACAACATAAATTAAAGGAGATATCAGCGAAACCCCAAACTGCCATGTGCCTGTTTAAATACATTATACTACAGGTACTGTATATGAGAAGACTTAATCAAGTCGGTATATTTTTGGATGACATCCCAGGCAGGCTAGGCTATTTATCTTAGGGAGAGAGAGCAGAGATGAACAATGCTGAAAGACTAGACATTAGAGACTGTACTTATCGATTGCTCATTGGAAACATATACACACACACATCTTTGCTGATATCAATGAGGGAATAGCTGCAAATAGATGTTTCCCTCCATTTAGTTGTTTCTTTCTTTCTAAGGGAGGGGGCCCCATTGAGCACTTCATGCAATAGGTCAGCAATCACCATAGTAATTTTTCACTAGAGGGCCCAGACAGTGTTAAGAGGAGAGAAGAAGAGGAGGAGGGGAGGAGAAGAGGAGGAGAGGAGAGGGTGTTTAGGATAGGGGGTAGTGGGGGTTAGGAGGGGTTGGGGCTAGGGGGCATCTACAGGCAGGGACTTGCAGACTGGCGAGGCCCAGAGAAGCTGGAAGGCTGGGAGGATACAACACACACACACACACACACACACACACACACACACACACATATACACACACAACTCCCTCCCCTCCCACTGTGTGTGAGAGGACCCCTCCAGGCTGAGCAAACAGCTGTCTGGGTCCGGTGTCTCACTCAATTCAATTCAATTCAATTCAAAGGGCTTTATTGGCATGGGAAACATATGTTTACATTGCCAAAGCAAATGAATTAGATAATAAACAAAAGTTAAATAAACAATAAAAAATTAACAGTAAACATTACACTCATAAAGGTTTAAAAGGAATAGAGGCATTTTAAATGTCAAATTATGTCTATATGCAGTGTTGTAACGATGTGCAAATAGTTAAAGTACACAAGGGAAAATAAATAAACATAAATATGTGTTGTATTTACGTTGCCCTTTTCTTGTGACAACAGGTCACACATCTTGCTGCTGTGATGGCACACTGTGGTATTTCACCCAATAGATATGGGAGTTTATTCAAATTGGATTTGTTTTCGAATTCTTTGTGGGTCTGTGAAGTATGTGTCTCTGATATGGTCATACATTTGGCAGGAAGTTAGGAACTCTCTCT